GATCAATAATGCTTCCCCATTTATCCCCGTATCATGACTCGAATTTGAGACCTATTGATTCCAAATTAAAAGTGTTACCCCTTGTCCGTCGGGCTCACTCAAAAGTTTGTAGTCAGAATAAAATGAAATAATTGATGCATATACCTAACATTTGATACAATTCTCAATGTGTGACTTATTGTGTAATTAAGTTTTGACCAAAAAGATTTGAGTGTCAATTATGACGTAAAAAATGCAATTTTCTTCAATGATTTGGCTACGATATACAACTTCCACGTGTAAAGTCATTCACAACATTCACAACGTGGTACTAGAAAAAATAAAATAAAGAATAAAATAGTACATTTATGATATGGTTAATTATTAATAATAATGCATATGTTAATAGAATCATTTTCGAATGCCAAAAGGCCCAAAACACATGCTAGATTGTGAGTGACATGATCTTTTCCCAATCTCTTATCTTTGACACGGGTGCAATGAAGCTATTTTATGGTTAAAATCCGCTTTATTAAGTATTATACTAACAAATAAGCTAACCAAAGATGAAAAGTGGAATATTTCATAACTAGGGAAACTTTGTGGAGTAGCTTTTTTATTTAACCCTGAATACAGCTCCATATCCATGTAAGACTGAAAAAATATACAAAATAAAAATCATAAAATGAGGATATTAAAACAAAAAGGGGCACACCCATATCTTGCTTTCTTCTACACACTGAGCAATGGCGCCATTTTTACTCTTTCTCTCTCTCAATATCTCTTTTCTCGTTCCTTTTAGGAAATTGCCTCTCAAAAGTTCTCAAAACAGTGCTCAGAATGTATATAGTGAATTCTAAATCATAAATTCAACAAAGGTAGGGCTTTTTACCGTTGAATCAACATACAATTAAAAAAATTTCAATCAAAGCAGTGCTTTCACTATTAGTAGGGCCGAATTTGGTGATATTTTGATATGATATGTTTGTACAGATATAATGTTTTTTTGTATTAATGTGGGGTTTTGTCCGCGCTGTTTTTGTCTGCAAGAAACTAATAGGCAATGCTATTTAACAAACACATTTTTTTTTTTAAACATTAACCATTGAAGTAATTAGTTAATTGATTGTGCTCACATTAAACTGTGGAGATCAGGCCAGAGGCGAGGGCCTGATTAGAAATCCCTTCTTCACGTTAATCTACCAATTTTTGGGGGTGTTTCTTCTTTAAAAAATAAAAACTATTATTAGGCCGACGTAACAATATAATTAGACAGTCATAATTTTTTAATATATATACATACTTCAAATTCAAATGTCATTTTTAAAAAATTAAATAAATAAAAATATAACATAATTTCATACCACGAATGTGCATTTTTCATTAAAAAAAAAATCAAGTTGAGTCGTCTAATAGTAACTCACCCAATAAAGTAAAAGATGAGGTTAAATAATATTAACTAATAATTATAAATTAAAGATGTGAACTTAATATGTAATATAATTTATCATATATGACTTGTAAACAATATATAATTATTGTGTATAAAATAATTTGAAAAAATGTATGTTTAAAGTATTAAAAACGTCTAAAATATTATATAACATATGTAAAAGTATCTAAAATTTAAAATATCATTATTGAAAGATGTGGAGTCATTTAAAAATTTTTTAAACTATTTTATAAAAAAAACATGCCTAAAACTATTTATATTTGACATATGTATATGTATATGTAATGTATACATAGATAGAATGTGTACAAAATTGTCTAAATGTTTAAAATTATATAAAATATTATGAGTCTAATAAGAGATATTGTCTCGCGAAACGAAGTAAAAAAAATAAAAAAATAAAAAAATAAAAAAAGCAAAGCAAGGCAGTGAGATGATATCGATAATTATAACATAACTTCCATGTAAAGTTATAACAAATAAAATAGAATTTATATCTAAAATTACCATTCTTTATCTCTTATTCTCTTTTTATGTAATACAAAATCTTATATCACATACGTAAAAAGTATTCAAAATATTTTACATTATTTTTGAAATATATGTGGAGTCACCTAAAATTTTTCTAAACTATTTTGTTAGGAAAACAATTTCTTAATCTAGAGAATGTGTAAAAATTTGTCTAAATATTTTTAAAACATTAAGAATACCTAGAGTATTATATAAAGTGTGTAAAAGTATCTAAAATATTATATATTATTCTTGAAAAATATGAAATTACCTAATTTTTTTCTAAACTATTTTATAAAAAAAATATCTAAAATCACTTAAAGTTAACATTTCTCTCTCTATATATGTACACTTTAACGAATGTGTAAAAAAAATTGCTCAAACAACATGTTTAATTATATATAATATTATATATAAAAATATATTTAGAGTTATATCCACTATTATATATTATAGTCCAAAAAAACCGTTGGTCTAACAAACATTAATAGTTTTAAGCAAAAATATTAGTAATTATAAATACCATAAGAAAATAATTAGACAATACGACATGCGATAATTTTTTATATAGTAGATACCCTAAATACATGCGCTAACTTTTTATATAGTAGATACCCTAAAAAATGTTTAGGACTTATATTTTGGAGAATTGCTTTTTTATATAATAGATACCCTAAAAAAATTTTATTAGACAATAACTCGAACTTATATTTTGGAGAATTGATTGAACAACGTATTCATTATTTTAAATAAAATCCACATGGAGTTTTGGAGAGGCCGATTTTTTTCTTATTATTAAATAACTGGTAAGATTTAATTTATAAGATTCTTTAATTTGTGAATGATTGAAAATCAAAATCCGTGGTATTATTATTTCTTAATATAAAATAAGTGTTATATTAAAGAGAATTAATGGGATAAGATTTTTTAATAGGATAAAATTTTGTAACGCAAAATCAGTGAATCGTTCAATTACAACATAACAACATCCCAAAAATCTTGGAAAATATTAATTGCACGGGAAAGCTTTAAAAAAATATTTATTACCATTAATGGCAAGTAATTAATGCAAAACTTGTTGACTAAGATTTTGATTTACCACTTTTAAAAAATGGTAATTCTTATTATATATATATATAGATTTTATTGTTTAGGCGGGAATTGAATTTTTTTTTTGTTGATTTTTTCTTGCTATATCCAGTAAATATCATTTCCTCTTTATATATTAATAGATAGATATATTAAAAATATACTATAAATAGCATGTAATTAATGTTGATCAATTTTGACCAAAGATTAACTTACTATTTTTAATAAATGTTAGTTCTTATTATATAGATATAGATATAGATTTAATTAATCATATAAAATGTAAACTATTTCAACATGACAAATATGCGCATAATTTATTTTGACTCAATAAGCCGCCAGCCCCCACTAACACAGTTATTATGCAACGAATTAAGAAATTAAGAATTCAATAAATTTCACTTTTGTACCAATTGTCAAACTATTAAACGGGTTGATTTGTCGTAATTTTTAAACAAAAGTATGTACTGATATTATAAAATGTCATGATTTTATTTATATTATTTTTAAAGTATGACAATTCAACTTGAAACTATGTATATATATTTCTAACCGTTCGACCTGGTTAACAATATATAGTCTTACTAATTTAATTAAAATATTTATAAATTCTTATGTGAGGCAGTTTATTATGTTGAATCATCATATTTTGTGAAAAAAAAATGTATACTAATACTATCAAATGTCATACTTTTATATATGTTACTTTTTAAAGTATGACATATTTTAGTGAAAGTATGCATACGACATGTTTATAGAAAAAATATGTCGGCCTAATGATTAGGTGGATAAAAAAAAAAAAACTATCCAATAAGTAATTTGTCCAGCACAATTTAGCTGCAAGTACTGAAATTAAGTTTAAAAATAATCTGAATATGTATAAATTATTCAAACCCTGAAACCACGAGATACAAAATTGCCAGCCCTATCTACATATATACAAAGCAATAGGCCTATTACACATGGAGTCATTTCTATAGAAGTCATAGAAGTCATTTCTATAAATCTGTCAAATTTATTATCTATATATATCTAAAAAGGTTGATGTAAAAATCTTTTTTAGAAACCTAAAATAATTGAGTCAAATGTTTAACTTACTAAATGTGGAACATTTTTAAAAATCCTGATTTTTGTTTGGTTTTCACAATTTGGCGATTTTTTCTTTTTTCTTTTTTTAACCGATAATCTGTTCAGGCATTGCATAATTCATGGAATGAAATCTGGATTTTTCTTTTTTCCTCGCGTTTTCTATTTAATATTTGAAACCGCACAGATAAATATTCACGCGTTTTTAGTTAAAATCTGTTCATGCGTTTCCCAATCTGCACTGGTATATCTATTACTGCAAATAAAATTTGTTCGCACATATGATTAATTAGGAATCACGTGTTTCACAATCTGCACTGATATATCTATAACAAATTTGCACTGATATATCTATAATAAATTTTCTAATTATTAAAATATGTGTCATATTTTTTGCAATTTAAAAAACAACTATTCCTTATTTTATGCACGCTATTTGAAAGAGAATCCAATATATATATAGTTGTTGATTTTTATCATCTTTTTTCTTTTTTTTTTTAACCGATAATCTGTTCAGGCATTGCATAATTCATGGAATGAAATCTGGATTTT